ATGTGCTGCTGCAGTGAGCACTGTGACTTTTTTTTTTTTTTTATTTTTTAACACCGTGACTTTTTAAATAGGTCGATTTAAAAACTGCCTCCATGACATGCTTTAAAGGATACCCTGACCAATAGCCAGAGACGGTGATTATGGCCACGTCCTTGACATTAACAGGTATTGGTGGCCACATGCTGTGTAGGAAGGGGATGGTGCATCCAAAAAGAGGTGGTCCATAGATATTTGCTGAGTTGCATCAGATTGGAGGTTCAAATCCTGGCTCTGCTTCTAGCTTCTAGGACATTAGGCAAGTTGCTAAACCTCTGGGAATCTCAGGTGGCTCCCATGTACGCTGAGGGATGAAGAAACCTGCTTCATAGGGTAGGGTAAGGACTAAAGAGGGTAAGGTATGTAAAGTCCTGTGTGGTCCTCACAACAAGGTAGATATGTAAATATCAGATGCAGCGGAAAACTCCTTGTCATTTCACTTCAATTTCTGCCACATCCTACACCTTACAGCTAGCAAGGGAAAGAACTCAAAGGAGGAGTAGGGAACTCTGGCCAATTCCAGTGAGGCTTTACCCATCAGGAAAGGCACTTTCCAATGTGGCACTTGCCAGTAGGACTGCATGGGACATCATTTCCTTGTTAATGGAAGACATGGGGAAGAAGGAGGGAAGCAGAGAGACAAGCAGAGCCTGATCACACCTTCCTCCCAACTGTCAAGAGCCACTACATCCCCTGTGGCAAGTGGAAGGCCCAAGGAATGAGGAATTCTATTGCTGAGTAGAATATACAGATCCCAGATGAGATCCAGTTCTTAAAGATGTTAGCATAATGCCTCCATTTTCTTATCTGTATAATGGGTGTTATAATAGCACTTACATCTTGGGTGGTTGTGGAGATGAAATAAGATAGTCTATGTGAAGGATCGAGCATAGAAGCCCAGGACAGTCAGCACACAAATGTTAGCGACTGTTAATATTTTGTGGTTTTTGTCAATATATGGAATTGTTAACAATTACTTCATTCATTACCTTATCAGTTGATCGATTTGGATTTAATAAATACTTGTTCACCCCATTTATTTATCATCAAATATTTATTGAGCTCTTACAGTGTGCTGGTACTATGCTGGGCTCAGGAGATGCCAAGACTCATTTGGCAAGAAATTTGAAGGCTAGTTGGGAGAGAGATGGGTAAAGAAAAACAGGACAAGACAAAGTGTATTAAGTGTCACAACAGAGAGTTGTATAAGGTGCTCCTGGAACCCAGAGAAGCCAGGAAGGGCTTCACACAGAAGATGCTCTTTGAACTGGATCCTGAAAGATGAGCAGCCTGAGGAGTTTGGGCTGTGAATTTCAGGTTGCAAAAAGGGCACAAACTTCCAGTTATAAAATAAATAAGTCATGGGGAGATCATGTACAGCATGATGACCCCAGTTAATAATACTGTATTGTATATTTGAAAGTTGCTGAGAGAGGGGCGCCTGGGTGGCTCAGTCAGTTAAGCATCTGCCTTTGGCTCAGGTCAAGATCCCAGGGTCCTGGAATCGAGTCCCCCATCGGGCTCCCCGCTCAGCGGGAAGCCTGCATCTCCCGCTGCCTACAGCTCCCCCTGCTTGTGCTCTCTCTCTTTCAAATAAATAAAATCTTAAAAAAAAAAAAAAAAAGATGCGGAGAGTTAAAAAAAAGTAAAAAAAAAAAAAAAAAAAAAAAAAGACGGGACCTAAGTCATGAAAACAAAAGGGCTAGGGGCCACAAGGACTTTGGTGTGGGTGGTGCCCCACCATCTGCCTGGTGTCCTGCCCTGATTCCGGCTCGACCTTCGGCCGCAGGGCCCCACCTGCAGCGCAGCCCCAGCCCAGGTACTGGGCCCAAGCCTGCTCGTGGGCGGAGGAAACGCAAGTCCACCTCGCTCGTTCCCTGGTCAGCTGGGCTTTGTTTGGAGTCTGTTCTGAGCTCCTGCTTCATTACGGCTGTGAGGTGCCCACCTTATTCCTATTCCAGGCTCACCCTGCTATTCCAGTCCTACCAACTGAGTTTGTCTCAGTCATTCCTCCATATTTCGCCTCCAAGTTTCTCTAAAACCGGAATTCTGCCTTTTCTTTTCAGAACTCCCCCGCGCTTGGGGGTCTCTTCTCAAGCCCTGTCCTTGGCCTTGGGGCTCACTACGGGCCGTTTGGTCCATCGATGGCAATTGCCCGCCAGATTCCTCCTCTTGACATTCCTTGGGGTGGCCTGCCAGTGGCCTCCAAATGGCTGACCTGCCTCTTCCCTGCCCAAACAAAAACTGTTTCAACGGCCTGGTGGAACTGCCCTCAGAACCTTCCCATCCACGAAACTGGTTTGGCTCACCATTGAGTGAATTCCCAATCCCACGACTAGGGCCAATGATCAATGTGTTACCTCGGTATTAGAAGTACCACCACACATCGGCTTTTGAGGACACAGGTATGCCATAAGCTCTTGTAAATTCCCTGTAAGAATTTGGACTTGCACAAGGCATCCAACAGAAACGATCAGAATATACGCTGCCAGTGAGCCTTGACTTTGTGGGCCCAGGCCCGCCCATACTGCTGAGCCCTTCATGGTGTTATGTCATCTTCCTTGACACTGGTCAGGGGATTAGGACACCAGCCATATGCTACCAGCCATCACTTCTCCAAAAACAAACTTGGGAATAAAGTCACGAGAAGAAATGAGGACCATTTGGAAATTGGAGAACCCACACGTTCTCTGGGGGTTTTTATGTTTTGTCTTTTTCCCAACTGGAGAGCATTTTAGAGAGATGCTCTAAATTTCTATGTGCATAGAAATATTCAGTGAGTCATGCCTAGTGTTGTAGGTCTATTCCGGTGCGTGGGGTTTCCAGAACAATTACATAAGCGTTAGCATAGCCAGGAACTTTTGACATTTGTGGCAGCTTAATGGAGTTCTTTTCATCATTGCAAATATCCTAATTGTTGTTTCCTTAAATTTAAAATGCATAAAACTGGTGAAGTAGTATAAATTGATTTTGAGGCATTTCTATCAAATATGCTTTGTTGGCAAAGAGACTGAAGAAAATTTATTTGAAATGAAATACAGGTGATCAAGCTGTAACAAATACAGTAATCATCTAGCAGAAATTGCCTTGGAGCCTAAATTGTACATGAGACAGTGTTCTTTTCCTTCTCCCATCCATCAGAATTTCCCTTATAATCTGGGTGTCCGTAGCATATTGTTTACTTAGCATTAAATGTGGGAGCTATTCAATAATACGGCTTTGAAAATGCTGGGCTTCTGAAAGCTACTGGAACGCACCAAAACTTTGCTTTTATTTTTCAGAAGATTGCCCAGGAATGGGGTATTTCAAGTACCACTAATATGTTTGTGGAAATGCTAGTTACCTTTGTTTGTTTGTTTGAAGATACTAAAGTTCCAACGTATCTTCCAATAAGAGAAACTAGAGAAAGATCCAACTAGAGCTATTATCAATTCGTCTTTTCCATCTCAAAAGTGAGCCTCCCCAAATCCAGGGCTTAGGGCCTTTCTAGGGACAGGGAAGTCCTTAGTTCTTGTAGATGTTGCGTGTCTTGCATGCACAACTTCCTACTGGCTTATTTTCCTGCAGATAAGAGGTTGTAGTTATGGGTGTCACTGTATTTATTTATTGGTCCAAAAGACTGGTACAAAGGACAGGCAGGCAGAGAGGGCACTGACTCAACCAAGGTTGCCATCTGCCTGTCCCTTTGGAAGGGATAGAACAGCCCATCGAGTCCAACTCTGCACACCCAAGTGCTGTTGGATTCTTTCCACATGACCACAAGCACTTGAATACCCTTCGTCTGTAGCAAAGCCTGTAGGTGCAGAGCACTCTGGGAATCCCCATAGGTGAGGCTGTGTGAACTACGTGGGCTGTGGTTGCAGAGATGAGAATGTAAATGGGATCACAAATATAGTAAGTATGCTTGTGACATATAGTCATCATGCAGTTTGCTTGTTGATGTTGGACTACTACGTGCCATCCAGGACTGTTTCTAAGAATCTACTGAACATGTATCCCCGGGGCTTAGGAGATAAGATGAAAAGAGGAATTTGGTGTCCTTGCCAAGATTTCTAGATAATGGGGAGGATTTTTTTTTTTAGGAGGAAATGATATTCATTCCAGGGTTGGGAGGGTGAAGTGAGAAGAAGACAGCCTTAGCCAATAAGAAAATGCTGCCAAAACCGAGGCTGACTCAGAATGTACCCTCTAGAGCAACAGAAAAGAGGTGAGGGAAGCTGTCTTACTCTGTTTCACTGAAAATCTCCTCATCCTACTGTTCATATTCCTGGCTTTCCACATCTGTAGTCACCAGGTCCAACTAGCTCTGTCTTCTCTGAGTCTGGAATCCATCTTCCCCTTCTCCATTTCTCCAGCCACTGAGTTCAATTTGTCACCATCTTTTACCTGAATTCCTGTGGTAGTCTCCTAACTGGTCTTCCTGCTTTCTACCCTCCCCCAACAAGGGGCTGGTGGCTATTTGGTCAGGTGGCTATTTGTGGGTGAGTAGAGGGCTCAGGGCACCTAGATTTAACAATCTCATCACACTTTCCAGTGAGGGAGATGTAATCCTTCAAAAGGAAATAAAAATGGAGTAGATAGGGGCGCCTGGATGGCTCGGTCAGTTAAGCGTCTGCCTCCTGCTCAGGTCATGATCCCGGGGCCCTGGGATTGAGTTCCGCATCAGGCTCCCTGCTCAGCGAGGAGTCTGCTTCTTCATCTCCCTCTCCCCTTGTTCATGCTCTTTCTCTCTATCTCTCAAATAAATAAATAAAATTTTTTAAAAAAATTTTTTTAAATGGAGTAGATAATGAATGTTCAAAAATCAGCATGTGCCCACTATATGTTGATTATAGAAAGGGCACCCAAGTGCAATGGTATATATTACCATTGGTATATATTACCATATACAATATATATACCAATGGTATATATTACCATCCCTTTGTTAACTAGCTTGTTAACTTATCTGTCTTCCCCAATAGATGCTAAAGTCATTGAAGGAAGAACCATGTCTTACTCATTTTTGTATGGCCTGGCCTCCCACAGATACACACGGTAAATATTCATTGTACATTGTACGAAAGAATGAATCAATGTCCGTTTAAATGAAAGTTTTGTTTTTGTCTAGTCTATAAGCTTCTGGAATTACTTTATGATCCCCTAGCCTTCAGTGATCCTTCTTCCTGACCTAACCTGCTCAACACTGAACTCAGTAGTACTCAGTCCACTCACCCTCTGGGTGCTCCCAAAGAGAGAGAGAGAGAGAACCAAGAGACTACATGTCAAATACAAGATTCTTTCTGCTCCCATTCAGCCATCTTTTCTGTCACCATTTGATCTTCAGGAACTCCTAACATGCATTTGTTCCTGGGATGCTTAGGAATTCTTGATAAGCTGATCTCTAACTATCTTACTTGACATTATACAATGAATGGAAAGAATGTGTTTTGAAATCAAACAGATGTAGGTTCCAAGATGAACCTACCAATTACTAGCTTTGTGACCCTGGATACTTTTTTTTAACTGCTCTGGATCTTGGGTTACACGTATGTTCACTGAAGATACTACAAGGGTAAATGAAATAATGTATGCAAAAACACTTGTCAAAATGCTTGTCATGTGACAGGTGTTCAGTGAACATCAGCTCCATTCTGCTTTGGTGGCTTACAGTGACAGAGGCATGAGAGAAATCTGCAGTGTTAGAGTAGGTAATTTGAACTGAAAGGAAAAAGAGAGAAAAGCCGAATGAACATAATGATTTGCTCTGTCATGAATCAAACTCAATTATTAGCTTCTCACCAAACTATATACAACATACCAAAGTTTAAAAAATATTTAGGGTGCCTGGGTGGTTCAGTCGGTTGAGCGTCCGACTCTTGCTTTGGGCTCAGGTCATGATCTCATGGATCATGGGATCGAGCCCCGCGTTGGGCTCTGCACTCAACATGGAGTCTGCTTCAGATTCTCTCTACCTCACCCTCCCACTCTTTCTCTCTCTCAGATAAATAAATAAAATCTTTTTAAAAAAATTTAAGTGGGTTTAAGGGAGAAACAAGCCCATATATATTTCTTTTTTTTTTTTTTTAAAGATTTTATTTATTTATTTGACAGAGAGAGAGACAGCGAGAGAGGGAACACAAGCAGGGGGAGTGGGAGAGGGAGAAGCAGGCTTCCTGCAGAGCGGGGAGCCCGATGCGGGGCTCGATCCCAGGACCCCGGGATCATGACCTGAGCCGAAGGCAGTCGCTTAACCGACTGAGCCACCCAGGCGCCCCTGCCCATATATATTTCTAAAACAACAGAATTAGATATTCCACAAACTGGAACCTGCACAGGCATAACATTGGAAGAGATTTCTTCTCTAAAGTTGTGGCGTTGTTTTGTTCCACGGGGACGAAGTCCTGAGTGTATTATAAGTTGCCAGCTGCTACCAGCAGAGAGGTCACTCATATGGAAACCCCAAGACAGAACTGATCTAGGATTGGAGAGTCAGCAAGCATTCAAATGAGCACGTTGCCTGGGGGGTGGGTGTGGGGGAGGGGGCTCTGCTCATTAACTTTTTTCCACTCCTCTGGAATGCTCAATTTCTTTTTTATTTATCTCATCAATAAAAGAACACGTTAAATTAGGTATGGTATAATTAATTATGTGATGTAATAAAAATTATAGTGAGGTTGGTTCTAGAAAAAGGAATTAAACATTGACAATGACTGTATTTTTGTTTTCTCTTCTCACTGAAGAAATCACAAAAAACTCAAGGTACTGCAGTAAAAAGATAATTTGAGTTTCTCTCTAATTAGATAATAATAATAATTTAAAAAAACGTGTTGACCTGAGGAGACATAAAATCAACTCGACAGCTCAAAAGGAGGGCGTGATCCCCACTTCTGTCTCCAGTCTCACTCCTCTTGCCCACTCTTCTTGTTCTCCCAGATTCTAAGCTGCTCACACGCGGCAGAGTGTGCGTATGCTCTCCTGGTGTGGGAACGGTGAGTGTGCTAATTCATGGTTTGGAGGCGAGAGAAGGTACGAGGTAGAGCTGGAAGACGGTGAGCTACAAATAGTGTGAGCCACCTCCACACCTCGTGCTGCAGAACTACACCACTTCTTTCCCTGCCAAAGGGGAGCCATGGTGCTACAGTAGCCTGAGGACAGAGAGGCTTGTTTTTTCTTTGGAGAAGGACTCTTCCCTGATAGGAGAAATGACTATCAATCATGGTGCCTCCCCTTAACCTGGCCAAGGGGAGGATGCATACATGATTGAAAGCAGGTCTATCAGATGCTCTTGACCTGGAATTCTGATGTCAAGAGAAAAGGCACAAAAACTCGAATGGTCCCAGATCATTTACTCTGGTAACAGCGGCCAAAGAAAACTGCATTATTCCGAACACCGGAATTCCCAGAGCTTCCCTGACACTTTTATGAAGAAGATCCTCAGCTTCTCCTGTTCTGTGAGCTACTCTCTATCCTTCTAATAAATTCATTTGTTTATTTACGATATCCAGACTTAGCTTCTGTTATTTCCATCACAGAATTTGGACTAAAATAGCTTCTCAAATGCTACAGGCTCCAATATGCAATGCTAAAGGTCAAAATTTGGGAGGTGGAGGGAGTCACTTAGGGTCAAACATTCACTAGGCATCAAGTTCAATTTTTCTCAAGCCATTTACATCCCATATGTTGGCTTTATGACAATTCTCACAAGCCTGGGAAGGCAAAGGAGCCCCATCTTCCCGGGATTAATCTGATTGAAATCACCGGATTCTCTACTTCTGCCAATGTAATTCCAATAAGCCCCACAGATTCTAGCAAAAGATCAGTGGTGCTGGTCTAGGTGAGAAGTTTAAATCAGTCTTATAAGAGGCAGAGCCAAAGCTGCATGGTAATTATATAACAGATTATGATGGAAAAGTAGCCACTGCAGTTAGGTCAAGAGGCATGTAAAAAAAATCACTGTGTGGGCACCTTTTCAAACTGCAACCCTCCATTAGGAACCTACATTTCCCAGAAGATCTTCATTCCTTCATTTAGGCAGCAATTTCAGTCAGCTGGATCCACGGTTTCTGCACGGCAGCAAACTGAGAAAAGAGACTGTATTTTACTTTCCTATAAGCAACATCTCCTGGCATTGGCATTTTGTATCCCTAAGATGTCACATGCTTTCGGAGTTATTTTCAGTTTTGGTTTGCGAAGTCTCCTAGATTAGCAATAACCGGCCTTCTCCTCCTGTTTAGGGAGGGAAGGGGGAAGGCGTGCATAGGAGAGGAGGCTCCTGAAACATTACCAGAGCCCTCCTCAATTGGGTAAAATTTCTTCTTTTTAAAATTTGTTTATTTTCACTGCAGGTGCCACTCCAGCGCCCAGCGTCTCCGTATATTCTTTCAGTCAACATTTGTTGAATACTTATTACGTGCCAAGCACTATAATCTGTACCAGGCACTGGTAAACGAGGTAGGCAAGGGGCTTACCCCTGGGGAGCTTCTAATCCAATGGAGGGAGATAGAAACAAACACAATTTCAGACCTGCTTGGCGCCCGGGCAGTCCCTGGGTCTAGCCAGTGGGTTAAGGGGAGTCTGACGCCCTGACTTTCCAGGTAGAAATGGTTGTTTGTGTGAAGGAGCAATAAGGACAAACGCTTCAGGCCAGAAACGATCAAACCAGGCAACCGTTGATGGCAAGTAAGTTCAAAGAAAGAAAGTCTTTCAGGGAAGGTCCTACTTCCACTGACATATTTCAGTATTTCTTTGTTTCGCCCATTTGGAATCTAGCAAGCGCCTTGCCTTTGTAGAATGCTCTGTGATTTGTGCAGAGCCCTTTCATTTGGTCATGAGAGGAGGGCTGCGCACATATTACTCTGATTTCACAGACAAGAAGACGGAGGCTCACTCAGCTCTCCCAGTGTTCCCAGCTAGCTTCACTGCAGCCGGACTGCCCCCCTGTCCTGGCCCGGGCCTTGGTCCTCACTTCTCTTCCACCTCTCTTGTCGCCATCTTTTTCATCTGGCGCAAAATCCTCTGCTAGTTTGGGTTTGATCGGGATCAGCCACGGTATTTTGATTGGGACACAGAACATGTCCCCCGACATGCACAAACGCCTAGAAAGTACATAACCCGGTAATCTGCTACCATCGTTGGTCAAAAATTACTACTTTTAAACCTTTCTCTGCCTGGCTCAGAGGACAGTTGAGGAAAAGAACCCCATTGCCAGTGGGGCATTGGCCTTCCCTGCAGGGATGGTCACACAGAGCAATCCAGAGAGGACATTACAAACTTAATTACTGTTTTGCATCAAACACTAGAGTTATTAATCGCAGCAACCTTTCCTCTGAATTTATAACAGTAAGAGTCCTGGCCTTCCATGACTCATTGACCTGATTCATCCATCCCCATAAAAATTGATTAATTTCATGAGAGTAGGATAGAAACCACGCACAAGTAAACCTTTGTTGTGATAACATGGCTTCAACTGTGCTCGCTTCGGCAGCACACAAAATGATAATATGGCCTCTACTAATGAAAGGTAACGTTTATCTAGCACTTATTGTAAGCCAGGGCCTATGCTAAGTATTTCATGTAATTCTCTCATTCCATCTTCATCCCAACCTGTTCGGGTTGGAACTACTATCATAACAGTTTCATAGATGAAGAAATTGAGGTTCCAAAGGGGAACTGTGTGCTCAACAATACAGATCTACGCAGGGGTGGAGCCCCCGTGTTTGACACAGGGCTATCTGACCGCAGGACCCTCTTCCCCGATCACCGTTCGAATTACGGGCACAAACTATTCGAGTTAGACCTTCACCCAACTCCCTATTTTAGGCACAAGGCAACAGAGGTCCTGGTAGAGGAAGGGTCTGCTTAAAGTCACACAATAGGTCTTCACCAACCGAATGAGACTTTGCTTCCACATGGCCTCTCCCAACTCAAGAAAAGCTAGAAAGAGTCTTTGGTATTTGCCTCCAAATTTCCAGAGGAATATCTTTGGAAAGTGGAGTTGAGTACATGCCATGGAAAGTGGGGTCCTGACAAACCGACGCTCATGAATCTAATGATGAGGTCATTTACTCAATTATAAGAAACATTTCTAAACAATCATAAAGGGGCCGTTTTCCAGCAGGAGTCCCGATCCCATTTGGATGCGTTCTGAGAAGAGCGAGCCTGGAGAAGTATTATCTGTTTCATAAGAGTACATTTTTCTCAAGCTGTCAGGGGAGTCGTCTTTGAAAAACTCATAAACAGAAAGTTAACTTGTAGTAAGCTGATGATGATAATGCAGATTTTATTACTTTTGTTGTTTGGGCTGTCTTCCTTTTCTTCTTTTTTTTTAAAAAAGAGCTCAATAACCACACTGGATGTTAACAATCCATTAGCTCTAAAAGGAACAATTTTTAGTTCCCAGAAAACTCATTTTACCTCCCAAATCTGAACCTGTAAACACAAAAGCTCTTTGTCTTACAAAAAGGCTTAGTATTAGTTGTTTCCACAAGATTAGCCCCATTGATCTGAAACAACTGCGCTTCGGAAAAAAATGTAGGACATTATCAATTTTAATCATTTGTCCGGGAAGCTACGCTTAGACTAATGTTATTTATCCAGCTGGGTATACCGACTAGGAGGGAGAAGATCAAAGCAGTTGGCGAGGGTGTACCATCTATGATCTGTCCTGATCATCAACCAAGCCTGGAGCCCATGGGCCTGATGACAAACGCCTTCTTACACATCCTTTTAGGATGCTGCTAAGTGGATGGCAGGGCTATCCGTAATGGCCACAGTCCCCTCCAAGAATTGCTAGGATCTCTTTTCAGGTCATTCTGAAGTTCTGCTTAGTTTTCCACATGGTCAGCGCACAGAAAGCACAAGATGCAAACACTGACATGACATGCAATTTACAGCAATGGGCCCCTTGCGATTATTAAAAAAAAAAAAAAAAGAAATTACACATAAAAAGGGGCGTGGGAGGAGGCCTGTGGCACTGTGCATGTCACCTCTAGATGGGGCTCCCTCGGCCCTCTCCTGGGAGGAAGGCTGAGCTACCACCGCATCCTGCTCCTGTCCCGCCTCCTCACTCTCCCTAATGGCAGGACGGCAGGAAGGCAGCCTCAGAGAGCACCGGAAAGGCACTCCTGGGGGCGGGCGGACAGTCCTTGTGTGTTCAGTGGGGGCTGGGGATGGTGGGACCCACACAGAAGATGGTTCGGCCAAGAAAGGAAAAATGGAAAGAGCAGAAAAATAAATCAATGAAAATACACATCACATCAATACAAAACCCACAGGAGGCATTTACCTGAGAAGCAAGAAAGCAAAGGAGGCAATTTAAAGTAAAACAAGTATGGGTCTCCTGGGTGGCTCAGTCGGTTAAGCATCTGCCTTCGGCTCAGGTCATGATCCCAGGGTCCCCACATCAGGTTCCCTGCTCATCGGGAAGCCTGCTTCTCCCTCTCCCTCTGCCACTCCCCCTGCTTGTGCTCGCTCACTCTCTCTCTCTCTCAAATAAATAAAATCTTGAAAAAGTAGAACAATGTAAAAGTGACAGGCAGCGCAGGGCTCCCTTCTCCCGCAGGGCTGCTGGGTTGGGAAATCCATTCCCACCAGGCACAGGATGGCTTTCTGAAGGACGCCAGCCTCGCTCAGATGTTTGGAAAGGAGCTTGCAGAAAGGTAAGAGGGGAAGCTATCGCAGGAACCTGCCGGCTGGCCCCTTCCCTTCCCGAGTTTGAAAGCTTCTCAGAGAACTTTCAAGGCTGACAGCTAAATTTAATCAGGGTTAAATCACTGAAATGATGATCATGTTTTTATGCAGCACAAATGAAAAGTGAATCTGCCAGTGCCTTCCTTACAAGGTAAAGGCACTGGCTTCTCGGAGCAGCCCCGCCGTTTGGAAATGTTTCCAAGTAAGGGGAGGCAGGAAATGTGGAAGTCTGGTTCATTGCTAATGTCTTCTAGGGATTGGAGTCCTGGAGGTTAGACAGGCAATGTCCACGGCAGGTATTCTGGATCGACAGTGCTCACTTGGCTCTCAGTTCAGCAAAATTCTTCCTACGTGGCATCCTAGCTACATTCTATATTTGAGACAGCCGTTTTCCCTTAGGAGCTCCAAATGTTGTCTGCAAAAGGAGCTTGCATAAACTGTACTACCAGGGGCTTGGACTGAGTGAAACATCGGTTCCTTTCGATTTTGCACCGGTTCGGTCATTTTAGAAAATGTGCAGGTCCCGTTCTGGTTCAGACTGGCTTACCACGTGATATATTTTCTTTAGACATCAGTGTGAAGTCAACAGTGTTATGTCATGTACCTTTGATGTGACGAGATGGCCGCTTTACCTTTGTAAGCGTCCTCCCCCAAACCCATCACCCTTGTCAAACCGTGAGAGAGACATCAGCTAAACCCAATGAAAAGCATCCTATAAATTACCTAACCAGTAATTCTCAAACTGTCAAAGTCATCAAAAA